GTTTGCTCCCTGTTTATATACAGTAGCTTGCCCTACCAGTTTTGGTGGGAGTGTGGTTTTCTCTTTGGTAGTTCCTTGGTTAGGGTATTGTTTTCTTCTTGATTGTTTGTTTGGTGTTAATCCCTGCTTATCTAGGTGTTGGCTGCTAGAGGATGTGTTCTGGTCTTTTTGTTCCTTCTTAGCTTTTTTATTGTCTCTTTTGAAAGGTATGTAAATATGATTTATCTCTATGTGTCTATTGATGGTTGATTTGCCTGAATGCCAAGCTTCCAGGAATTCCCTAGCATTTTTGGATTTAGCTTGGTCTAGGATCCCAGTTGGAACTATGGTTGAGTCTGTCCATGTGTTGTGAAATTAAGGGGTTTTTGTTGTGTCTTCTGACTGCTAGTTGGTGTTCATGGATGCACTCTGCTAGTCTTCTGCCTGTCTTTCCTACATAGTGGCTGTTATAGTCCTTACGATGTATGTTGTAGATGGCTCCTGTTTTTCTTCTTAGGCTACTGGGTCTTTTGGTTTACTTAAGATGTTTTGGAGGGCTCTAGTTGGTTTATGTACTACGGTGATGGTGTGTGGTTTTAATAGTTTGTTGGTTGTTTCTGAGATGTTTTTAATGAATGGTAGTATTATGCTTTTCATAGCTTGTGTTGGTTGTGCTGTAGTGGGTTGAGTGGTCAGGCCCTTTTTGATAAAGTTGTGTGGGTATCCATTTTGTTGGAAGATGTTATATAGGCGGTCTGTTCCCTTTTTCTGCATTTCTCCGGGTTGCTATAGTGCATTTGTGCTCATCTGAATAATGTTCTTACATAGCTCCTCTTGTGGGAGGTTGGGTTGTTACTTTGGTAATGGAGCATTTGGTTAGCGTTGGTTGTTTTTCAATAGACTCGTGTTTCTCATTTACTGTTGTTTCTTCTGCTGATGGGGATATGTTGTTGTTTTCTTATTCCCTTGTAAACTTTATTCCTTTGAATATGTTGATTGTTTCAGGTGTCTTTTCTAGTTGTTCTTTTTTTTTTTTTTGGCGAAGGTGTCATCTACATACTGGAACAATGCTTTTGGTTGTATGTGTGGGAGTGCTAATAGTTTCTAGACGCTGCATTACAGTCTCTGCTATGAGTCCTGAGCTTGGGGATCCCATGGTTATTCTTCTGAGTTATTGCTATATTTGTTCATCAAACTGAAAGTAAGTAGTGAGGCAGAGGTGGATGAGGTCCATGATTCTGGGTATTTCGATCTTAGTGTATTTGGCTAGGTTGGCTGTGTTGTGTAGAACTGCTGCAATGGATTCTTTTGCTAGTTCTGGATCTATGGACGTGAACAGTGTTGTGACATCAAATGAAACCATAATTTCATCTTCTGTTTTTAGGTCTTTGATTTTCTAGAGGCACTGTAGTGGGTAATTAATAGAATATTCGCTCCCCTCTATGAGATGTCCAAACTTTTTTTGTAAGTTCTTTGGCTATGTAAGTTGGTAACATTACAGTTAAACTAAGAGATATATTGGGTTTGTGTATTTTGGGGCATCCACAGATGCGTGGGAGGACAGGTCCATTGCTTTTCATCTGCCACTATTCTTCTTTTGTGATTTGATCTTTCTTGGTTAGGTTGTTGAGGGTTCTCTTGATCTGGTTATCCAGTATCTGTAGTGGGTTGGTGTTTGGTGGGATGTAGGTTTCTTTGTCCTCCAGTAATTTTTTGGCTTTCTGTTTGTATTGAGTTCTGTCCATGATAACCGTGATTCAGCCTTTGCTGGGAGGATAGTGATGGTTTGATCCTTCTTTAGGTTTTTGAGGGTTGCTCTGTCCTCTGCTTTCTTTTCTTCTATATATAATACATAATCTAAGGTTTGGATTCCCAGTGGGGGCCCAGGGGACAGCATTTCTTGGCTCTTACCTGACCTTTTTGATTCTTACAATTAAAAAGAAGATGATAATTATCCTGCAAAGCAAAGCACTAGCCTCAAGCATAATAAACTATATTTCCAACAATGATTCTTGATGCTACATAGATTCCAGAAAATAAAATAGTGGATGACAACAGTCCATTACTTCATTTTCTTGTGGGTATGTGAGCATTTATATTGCAACGAAGTTGAAAAAAAAAATAATCTGGTGAGACAAGGGTAAAAACATAGTTTCTGCTCCTAAAAAGATGGAGTTAATCTTAATATGGAACATCAGTCTGGCTTCCTTTCTATTACTTGGTAAGGATTCCATAATTCTATAAATCTAAAGTTGAATTAGCAAGTTTTAGACACTTTTTGAAGTTTTTGGTCTCCTGAAGTGCTGGCATATTTATGTGAGCTGTAACTCGCTACATATACCTGATTCATAAGGCTGAATCAGGTGTATAGATTACATGTGAGACATATTACAAGTACCTTACCAGTTAACAATTGTAATGTATTAAAAGCTCATTGTATTTGTTTAGATCTTCTGAAATAGTCTGAAACCTTTTGATGTATGCGAGTTCAGTTGTGCTGTTGAAGTCCTGCTTTCCACATGTACCTGCAGCTGCATAACCAACGTATCTTCCCTATCCTTCCCTCCCTTTCAACCTCACCCCAGATTAAATCCAACATCAGTCTATACACTGTATGCATCTGATGAAGCAGGCTGCAGCTCGCTAGGGCTTATGTCTTTTAATAAAATTTGTTGGTCGGAGGGGGTGCTACTAGATTCCCTCATTTGAATTAGAAGTGATTTAGAGATTATCATTTGGGTTATGAGATTACATTTGGTTTAGAAACAATATTATAATGGAGGATAAATATAGGAATATAATTTCAGTTTTGTTTTGTTTTGTTTTTCCAAAGCAATCATAGCTGCCAGATTCCAGGTTCCTTTATACTCTTGTCAAGTGAGTAAAGGGAAAATGGAGCTTTTTTTTTTTTTTTAAGGAACAGCATTCAAAGGATGTTTACTGAATATGGCTTTATATATATTGTATTTAAATGTTTTATTGTCAATGCCATAAATCTCATTGTTTGTTTCTTATCTATGCTTTCAGATGGTCTCCTTATTGTAGGCGTCCACTCAGCAAAATTTCCAAATGAAAAAGTTTTGGATAACATCAAAAGTGCTGTTCTTAGATACAACATCATTCATCCTGTGGTAAATGATGCTAATGCAAGCCTCTGGCATGAGCTAGAAGTATCCTGCTGGCCAACCTTGGTAATTGTTGGACCCCGTGGCAATATCCTGTTCAGTCTGGTTGGTGAAGGGCACAAGGACAAACTATTTCTCTTTACCTCCATAGCCTTAAAATACTACAAGGAACAAGGCCAAATCAATAATAATAGAATTAGAATACAGCTCTATAGAGACTCTTTGTCACTTTCACCTTTGTTGTTCCCTGGGAAAGTTGCAGTAGACAGTTCTGACAACACATTGGTAATAGCAGATACTGGACATCATAGGATTTTGGTTGTGAGGAAAAATGGTCACATTCTGCACATCATTGGAGGTAAGGGTAATCTAAATATATTTAAAAACCTTGTTTTGCTGGTCAGTGACCGAAATAAAATGACTGATTATTTAAAGACCTTGTATTTTAGCTTGACAGCTCTTAAGCAAATTATGAATTCTGTCTGCCTTGTACAACTCTTAATATTGTACAATATAGTAAATTATAATAAAATTAGTTTCCAGTCCTACAAAATGCTTCTTTGAGTGTATATGGATTGAGCTGCAAAGAAGTAATTGATTGTCTAATTCTGAGGCCTATTTAATAACCACACACAATATTTAATAAGTCATGAAAATGGCATCACATTTTCAGTCTTGTAACTGGCATATTGCAAGTAACATGAGCAGTAGAGTTTATGAAATTCAATTACTGGTTGCTTATTCTGGCACATAGCTGACTGCTTGTTTTCCAGGCATTTGCATTCCATTCTGCATTGCATTTACTGTATATAATTCCTTATGTTTAAAAGCTGAACCTTCAATGTAAAGAAAATGATTATAGATGCAATAAATGTTTTTTATTTATTTGTTTGGTCATATTTAAAGTTAATAGAGTATATTGCCAGGGATTGTCTAGTTCTTTAAAAATTGTTCTTTTGAAAGAAAATCTCTACACTCTTCTGTGGAAAAATATTAAATATATTAACTAATGAAAAATGAAGAAAATCTTTTCAAAATGAAACTATATGCTAGTTTCTAAAAATATGTTTTAAAATTATAGACCCACAGTAGTACCTCTATTCAATTAATATAAAGTAATCTAAAGTCCTTTGCATCCTAAATCTGACTTGACTGTGTGTCCATTGTTGATCTCTAGCAATAGTTATACTCTTGTTTTATGTTGTTTTTGTTCTGTTAAGGACCAGACAGTGGAAAAAATGATGGAAATTTTTCAGAAGCATCATTCAATTCTCCACAAGGAGTTGCCATAAAGAACAATATTATTTATGTAGCAGATACAGAAAACCATCTAATTAGAAAGGTAAATTGATTGATTGTGTTCCATCACATCAGTGCCAACTCGTAGCATCCACATAGACAATCAGTCCCTAACCTGGTCCTTAACTTGTTTTTTTTATGGGTAGAAAACAGTGCTGATACAGTTATTCAAGGGCCATGCAATGTGACCAGTAGTAGCATTCCTAAATATATTTTTATTCTGAGTAGATGGAAAAAGTATTATTTTTCTTTTTGAATATGCTTTTAAAGCAACTTATCGAATACAGGTAGTCTTCATTTACTGACCGCAGTTGGGACCAGCATCTTGGTCATTAAGGAAAGTGGTCGCTAAATGAAAAATCACATGACTGCAACTCTGCTTATGATTTTACTTCAGCTTTCCCTTGCTTTACAGCGTCAGAAGGATATGACCCCAAACAATGGGGTGAGCCCAAACCATGGGAAAGGTTTTTGGAACTCAGTTCACCAGGAAACTGGGTAAAAGGGCAAATCTTACAGCCCTTTTCCCCCACTCCCCTGCCCTTTGGGAGATAGGATATTTCAGAAATTAAAGATATGTACTACTCTGGTACATAACTATAAAGCGGTGCGCAAAGGAGCTTTCCCCGCTTGCACAATTACAGTATATTCTAAATATTACAGTATTAAAGGTATTTGGGCAAGAATGGTTAATAACAAAAAATGCATGTGCTATTCTAAAATATTGCTGAAAAAATAAATCAGTGTGGAGTCCTTGGTGCTGCCTGAGGTTGGTTGTTCATATACCAAGCTTGTAACAACCAAGCTCAGTCAGCAACAAGGGCTCCACAGTTCAACCTTGAGCTACATATATTCTCTTCTATTAAAATAAATCAATAATTGAATTCTAGATTGATCTGCAGTTGGAGCTGGTGAGCACTGTTGCAGGAGTTGGAATACAAGGCACTGATAAACAAGGAGGAGCCAAAGGAGATGAGCAGCCTATTAGTTCACCATGGGATATAGCTTTGGGAAGCTTAGGTATTTTTAAGATGTTTATATTTTACTTTTATGCAGGTTTTTTTTCAAAGTTTGTAGCCTGCTTAACACCATTGCCAGTTATTTAATTTTTTCCTTAGTGGAAATACCATATTTCATGACCATATAGGACTATGACTCATCAGTATTTACGATAGTTTCTATGCATTGAATGGCTACTACAATTTTTTTTTTACCAAAGGCTAAGTTATATGCCCTGATACATAATCTTCTGCATATTAAAAAAAAGAGAGAAAAGTAATCCTGTGTCTTGTAGCAAAATAATTTTTCTACATTTATTGTAAAGTTAAAAGTGTGCAAGATTTTTTTTCATGCTTTAATACTAAATACATTCAAGATAGTTATTGTTTAAGATTACTGTTCTAAACAGTTTACTACTCATTTGATTCATGTATATAGTAGTAAAATGCTGTTAAATGCTTTATATTTATACTTATTTTACAAACCATTTAGATTATATTCCTGTATCCATTTATTTAGGAATAAAGTCCAGTATGATTGTATCTGTCAAATCATAAGAGTATTCTGCTACAAAATGAGAGAAGATGAACTGTGTTTCTTTAAAGACTCTGAGAAAAAGGCCACATCTTAGAACATACCTTATTACGCATATATCAGCATACTTCATACTTCAGAGAATATCTTTCTCTGTAATAATCGTGTCCTTAATGCATGTCTAATGTTTATATATTTATCATTATTTTAAGAGTCTTTTAGATATTAATTTTAGAATATACTGGTTTATATTTTTCTCTTTTTTCATATTTTATTTAATATATTTTAATTGTGTTCTACACTATCCAGAGACCTGGGTTTGGGGGCTATTTAGAAGTACAGAAAATAAATAAATTGAAACTAAATTATTTTCACAACTATTTTTTATAGTTTCAAAAACTGGTTTTTTCCCCTCTTTTTCAAATACTGTAGCATTGTAATCTAATTTGCAACAGTGTGGCTAAGTATCTTACAAATATCTTACATATTTTTGTTACAAACTAATTTATTAGGAAAATAAATCCGCCTCTTATTTCTTTTATTCTTGTTTTTAGGTAACATAAAAACCTTATTTGCCAGTTTTCACATAAAAAACAATGTTTTACCAAATCATAAATTAAACTTGTGAACCCTAGTGATTATGCAGATTAAGTTTAGAAAAATTATATTTTGAATTTGTATCTTTAGTTAAGGAAGAAACATAATAAAATATATATATAGTTATTGTTCCAAAATTAAGAAAACTTGTCAGAGGGTATTGTATATAAAGAACAGCTCTTTTCAACAACAAATATATAAAACATGAATGACCCAATTGGACTCAATCAGATGTATATTTATATTGCTTTCTTTCAGTACAATTAAACAAAAATGGTAGTACAAAAATTGAAGTACATGGTCATAAGGCCAAAAGTCTGACTCTAATTATATTACAACAACTATGAATCATGGCATGAAGTGTGAATTCATTCAAGACATCAACACAAGCATCTTTTCTTAGGATCATGAATACATCTTGTAACAAATATTACATGCGCGTACACACACATGAATAGCATATTTTTCTGAATTTAAATAGGAATACTTATATTTTAACATTTAAAATAGTTAATTTTCTGGCTCTAGTGTTCTTGAATAGCATTGGCCTCTTGCCACTTTATTAATGACCATGTACTTTTCAACATGTACATGCAGAGGATGTTCTTTCCATTCTCATCTATTTTTATACAGTGCTATTGAAATCAAGCAGTGCTAAATGCATTTTTGGTTGAAGTGTGAAGTGTTCTTGATAGCTGCATTCTTTCTGAAAGGCACAGATCTAAGACCCCAGTGTTATGATCCACAAGTGTAGCTATGATTCAAGCTTTTTGTGCATAGCTAGCAAATGTTACTATAATGCTACATAACATACAGGATTTTAAGTAAACAATATTGAAATATGCAACATATATGAGGAATAAAGTTCTGTTATCACACAACATAAGGCAATAGCTAATTGTTTTGTAAAACTTTTGACAATGATTTTTTTAATGTACACTTGTTCTATTTAAGTATCTTCAAAAGACACTGTGATTGAAAGCATCATTTTTTACATTCATGGACTTTGATGCATAAGATGACTGATTCTGCAACTCTTCAGTTCTATAGCTTTAGAGTGGGGTTTCTAAATGTTTCGAGGAGAAGAAAATAATAATTTTTAAAAACCAGTTTCAGGCTGAATGTTATAGAGGGGATTTTTGTGTTTTATTCTGCATAAACTGAAAAATGAAATGATATAAAGAGCCAAACAAAAGTCATTTCTCAAGCAGTTTTGGCAACCTCTCCTATTTGCAGTATCTTGAGGGATATAATTCTTCTTTCCCATGCATTTTTAAAAAATCATAAAGGGATAGATTAACCTGAATTTACTTGTGCCTACATTTCTTATGGTCTTTCTAAAATGCTGCAGCTAAGTGAAAAGGGCTGTTTTCTTATCATTTTATATATAAAAAGTTATATCTTTGGTATTGATACTACTAAAATAAAAAGATTATCAGTGGCATGTTGTCTTTAAAATTTATATGATGTATAACATATTTATACGCACTGTATTTATAAATAAAAAGATTATCAGTGGCATGTTGTCTTTAAAATTTATATGATGTATAACATATTTATACGCACTGTATTTATTAAAGACATACTCTGGTTTCCATGCAAATTCCATGGGCAATTTCATTTCAGAATTTAAAAAAAACCCG